TCTTGAACCGCCCGGCGTGTCCGGCGACTCGCGTATCGTGGCAGAGCTCGATGATGCGCCTCCTTAGGTCCTTGTCTTTAGGGACTACAACCTTGCCGCGGAAGTACAGGAGGTCGCCGGAGACGGCCCACTCGTCCGAACGTGATGAGCGGGGGCCCCGAACTTGACCTCGGACCTTCAAGAGTTGCCGGGCCACAAGCGCGACGGGCTCCTCTAGGTCAGGCTCACCGGATAGTGCTTCCTTGATGTCGCGGACAAGTTCGGAGCCAGGCCCAGAGACGGTGACGGCCTCAAGCGCGCGAACATGGAACAGTTCGGGGCATAAGAGGGTAACATCCGAGTTGTCCTCGGAGATGCCGTGGTCGGGCCGGGCGGGAGAGAGCATCGGGACGGCCCATCTGGCGACCTGGGACGTGGTGCAGCGTAAAGTCAAACCTAGAAAGGTACAACGACCATCGGGCTTGCCAACGATTAAGGTGTTGCGCCTTTCGGAAGTATTCCAAGTTCTTATGGTCGGTCCAGATCTCGACCGGATGTGCGGCGCCCTCGAGGAAATGCCGATACTCCTCGAGTGCACGGATGATCGCGAGCATCTCCTTGTCGTGAATCTCGTAGTTGCGCTGGACATCATTTAAGCTTTTGGAATAGAACGCTACAGGGTGCCACTTCCCGTCCGGGGCGGATTGTTGTGAAAGAACCGCCCCCGTCGCATAATCTGAGCTGTCTGCTTCAAGTCGGAAAGGCCGGGAGTCGTCCGGGATCGCTAAAACGGGCTCTGAGACGACCGCGTCTTTGATAGCTTGAAAGGCGGCGGCTTCGGCGTCTCCCCAGGCCCATTTCTGGTCTTTCTTGGTGAGCGAAGAGAGGTTGCGCTAGGGCCGAGAAATCCCGAATGAACCTGCGGTAGAAATTAGCAAACCCCAGGAACTGCTGGACGTCCTTCTTGTTCTCGGGGCGGAGGCCATGCGGAGACTCCGGCAACCTTAACGGGATCCATTTCGACGTGGTTGTGAGAGATGATAACCCCCAGGTACTCGATTGACGATTTCTCGAAGTCGCACTTCTCCTTGCGAAGGTACAGCTTGTGCATTCGGAGTCGCCGAAGAACCGCGGACGATCTCGCGGTGCTTACGGAGGTCCGAATGTGCGATAAGGATATCGTCAAGGTAGATCATAACGTCTCCTGAGAGAATGAGATCCTGGAAAATGTCATTCATCATCGTTTGGAAAGTCGCGGGGAGTTCGTCAGGCCAAAATACATCACCAAAGGTTCGAACAACCCTCGGTTGGTCCGAAAGGCCGCCTTCCACTCGTCTCCTTCTTTAATCCGGACGTTATTAAACCCCCAGCGAACGTCGAGTTTGGTGAAGTAACGGGCGCCCTTAAGCCTGTTGATAAGGTCATTAATCAACGGGAGGGGGTACCGGTTCTTAATCGTCATTGCGTTGAGGGCGCGGTAGTCCTGGACAAACCGAAGTCCTCCGTCCTTTTTCTTAACGAAGAAGACGGGGGAAGCCATCGGAGATTTCGAAGGGCGGATACGGCCTGTGGCAAGTCCCTCCTCGATGAACTCGTCAAGTTCGCCTGTTCAAGGGGGGAGATCGGATACACCTTGCAATTAGCGGGCTTCGCGTCGGGAACGAGTTCGATAGCGTGGTCCCAAGCCCTCCGCTCTGGTAACGTGTCGAAGGACTCCTTGTCAAAGACGTCTTGGAACTCCTTGGCCCAGTCCGGAATCTCCGAAGGCGGGGGGCCGAGTTACGGGCGAAGGCCTCTGCAAGGCGTTGGGACACGGTGCTCCCAGCGCGAATCTCCTCGATTGGGCGAAAGGAGGTGTAGAAGATGCGGTCGCCGTCTTCAAGATGCTCGTCGTCGTCAAGATCTGGTGAGCGCTCCGGAGGGTCCGAAGGAGCTCCGAGTTCGTCGTCGGCATCGTCTGGGCCAGCGATATCGATAGCGCAAACGGTGGGGAAGGCGCCCGCAAGCAAGCGCGATTTAAGGAGTCGGAGGCGGCGAACCTCAGCGCGCTCGGTCCGTTCCTCGTCGCGGCAGGTGGAGCAGCTTCGGGGGCAGCGGCTCATTTTCACCTCCTTTGTTTCCCAGTTGATCTCGGGGTTATGCTTTTTGAGCCAGGAGTACCCGAGTATCAAGTCCTGTTTCCCAAGGTAGGTTACAGCCCGCTGAACGCGTTCCGGAGTGTCCGTTGTACCGTAGAACGAGGTCCGCGATTTGGCGAATAGACCCAGCATCATTGGGGGTGCCGTCGACATTGTAGACCGGTATGGGTACTGAGAGATTTCGGACCGGCACGTTGTTTCGATTGACGTATTCTGTGTCGATAAAGTCCGAAGTGGCTCCAGCAGTCGACCAGACCTGAGAGGGAGAGGCTTGAGTGCGTTCGCAGTGGACTCAAGCTCAAGAGGAAGGTGGAGCGAGTTAACCCCAGGAGCGGCAGAGATGGTATAGCTGCCAGGTAGCTTTTTCTCCCAGGCAAGTCGGCGAATCCGAGCGGGGGCTTCGGAGGGGGCAGGGGGTGCGTCTTTCGTTTCAGGCTCGTTGTAGGGCAAGGGAGTTGATTCATCATACAAACAAGTGAAACGATTTATGGACGCGAACGAGGGCACACCAGTCACTCGTCGCGGGGGACAAAATCCTCTGCCGGAGCCTCCGAATGCGCCTCTGCTAAGGCCGCGGTGTCGGACAACCGCGCAAGTAGCTCTCCCAGCATCTCATCGCCAAGTTGCTGGATTACCTCGTCGAGGATGTCCATATGGCGAACATCGGCGGGGAGCGGACAGTCCCGAGCCAAGTGATTGGGGTCGCCACATCTGAAGCAGGCTCGACGAGGGGCGCCCGAGCCCTAGTACGATCCAACTCCATAGGGACGGGAGCCGGAGGTGCCGGGACGGGGCGCGGGCCGCGGGTGGCGCAGGTGCGGCCACCGGGCGGATGGGGAACGGAGTTGCCGAACGGGCGATAGGGAATGCGCCACGCGGAGCCCCAGGGCGTCCGGGGGTGGTCCCCTTGATGAGCTTCGCCCGCACCAAGGCTTCGTATTGGCGGAAAGCCCGAGTGCGCCAGCCCAGATAGTCACGGAGGTCTGGGGGTCGTTCGAAGACGTGATGCCGTTGTTGATCAGGGGGTCAAGTCCGTGGCGGTACTTGGTCACCTTAACCAACGCGTCTTCGAATCGGGCGAGGTCCATTAGGTCCTCGAAGTCGTCGGTGTATCCGTAGACATCCCGCGTTCCCATGTGATAACCCGCGCTCTCCAATTTGGCAAGCGCAAGGTCCTGCTCGTTCTCCTCAACGAACCGAAGGCGAAACTCGGAGAGGAATAGGTTCCACCGAGGGAAGGGGAAGGGGTTTTGCTCCCATGACGCTCTGCCCACTGCTGAGCAGGCCCCTCCGCCATATAGGACATGGCGTAGCGGACGGCCTTTTCTTCTGCTCGGCTCTCCGTTGACCACGAAGGCCTCCGGGGCAAGCCGAGCGTAAGTCTTGACCGCGTATAGGAAGGCGCGGCCGCGTTTGCGATCTCCGTTAAACGCAAACGGGGGGTTTGGTCGTAAGACCAGTTTTGAGGCGACAGTAATATCACCAAATAACGCATCCGCGTCGGGGGCATTCGGAGATGCCGAAGGTGGTTCGGGAGCTGCCGAAGGTGGTGCGGCAGCGGAAGCCTGGGAAGCAAGGTGGGTGAGGATATTGGTGAGGTTGTCTAGTTTCGCCTCAAGTGCGTCCATGCGCGCATCAGCGTCCGGAGCAGCTCCGGTGGACATAGCGGGCGTAAAGACGACAAGAGCAGAGGAGGAGGGGTCAAGTGGCAGGGGCGGTGACGAGGGGGGTACGGACTCGTACTCCGAGCCTGAATCAGCGCCAAACCTGGCAATCTTGACCGGTTAATCCCGTAGAGAGTTTCTTCTGCTGTAAGGGCAACCCTGGAGACTCCGGCGAAAGCCTAGCAGGGGAGGATCCAAAGCGTGAATAAAAGCTACGGGAAATACACGGAGGGACCGACCTAGCAGGGGAGGATCCAAAGAGAAGAAACTCTAAGGGTCCGCCTGCTAGGGCGCCAACTATATACTGGTCGTCCGTAACTGCCGACGTAGAGCGCAGAAGGCCTGAGCGGCGTCGCAGGCTCTGTCCCAAGGTGATCGTTGGGAGGGTCTTGACGGATCGGTGATTGTGCGGGCGAAGGAGGCCGTGGACGATGGTCGGGGCGGGTCGGAGCGTCCGAGGGGGCGCCGGTCGGATGCGCCTCGGATGCGTTCGGAGGGTCCGAAGGAGGCCGAAGCGGGGGTTCCCCTGACAGCCATCTGGGACCCCCCCTCCCCCCTTACCATATCGGGTAATATATTCCCATGATCGCACATCATGTGACCTGTTGATGCGATCAAAAGTGGCAATAAAATGTATATTTCTAGCCACATTCATTAGAATGCTTTTATTTTTTGAGTAATACATAGCAATTGAGTCTTTACAGAGTCCCTGGTAGGCTTCCTGTGATTATAGGTGATGAAATATAAATGATAAATTGTAAGGCTAGTCATACTCCAGTCACACTACAGCCCAACTAGACTGCTGAGAGCCTTGCCATAAGCAGATAGTAGGGCTAGTCAGTACCCACCTTGCATTCTATGCTAGAATGCTACACATCCAATCCCAAACACAACCTTAAACCTACCAAAACCCCCCCAAACTTTGTTATAGCAAAAGTTTTTTTCAGCATGCCTGGGCCCCCCCACCCCATGTCCGTGATAAGGATCTTGGGACCCCCTTGGTTGCAGAGGTTGTTTTCAAACTCAGGTCAACTGGCAAGATACTTCACTCTTGATGGTACAGACCCAGTTAATGTTCTGCTATGACTTATTCATAGTTGTTTGCATTTGTAAAATAAGTATAGACAGAACAAACCATATACTAGTAATACTACTAGTGCTCAGGAGAAAGTTAGAGTACCGACTGCCAGTGCCTTGACTTGCAAATATTGGAGGCATCCTAGGGGTACTGAGTAATCACAATTCTTGGAGGATGAGTCCCAGGGGCAAGGGAGATGAGCCCGACATCTGCATCCCACAACACTCCGGCAATATTTGGATGTCGATACACTCTCTGCACAGAATCAAATTGAAAGTCTGTGGGACACACCATGATGCGCGGGTCGATAGAGCTGCCAGTGCTGTTGGTGTATGAAGTTACAGTGGAATGTCGTCCATGCTGATGCTGGCGGGCTTTGGTGATCGCTACAGGATGGTCTGTAGCAATGGCAACAGAAGACTTATCGTGGGCATAGCTCATTTGGACCTCGAAGCCTGCAGCGGTCGTCGAAATCTGCAATGGCCCGGGGGACGATTGAGGTTGAGAATTAGTCGGATCATCTCGCTGCTGCCAGTAGGTGCCAATGTTGAAATGTGGCAAAGCACCATGACGGGTTGATATCGATAAGATACTGCGTTGCAAAGGGGACATATGATTCATTGTGTTGTTGTGGTACATGGGGGAAGACATCGATGGAGTGGTGTAAAAGGGCAGGTACTCTGGCCCACGGATTCAAGTCAGTGGATATTCTCGAATGATCAAACTTGAAACTGAGACGTACGTTCTCGCCTAGTCCGAGTCCTACACCAGTAGGCATTAAGATTATACCAGCGCACGTCGGGTGTAGAGAAGGATGGATCACTATCAACTTTTGGGACATTAGTGCTCATCGTAGATTGAAGAGAACCATAGCGCACCATGCATTCGCTTCGCATCTCCGTACACAACTTGGACGACGAGCGGCTTGTCGATCCAGATCGAAACATCACGGTGTCTCCATATCATCGAAGGCTGGTTGGAAATATGCGACCAAGGGAAAGTGTCAGATGCGGCCGGCTGCCGAATCAATGGTAGTCCACTGGCAGAAGGGGGACAATGGCTCACTTTCAATCGTGCAAGCGATAGCAGGACGGTGTGGTCATTGAAAAACTCCATCCAGACGACAAGGAAGGGCCAAAGATTTTGTTGGCTTTGTTCGCACCAGACTATCGCTCCGAGAAGGTCTCCGGGGTCGTTAATGGGTGTTCCAAGACTAATTGGCATACTCCCAGGGGCCAGGGCGATGTTGAAGGGGGGGTGGTAATACTGGGATACTTCGACGCCTTATAAACGAGGAAGGTTGGACGAGCGCTGTCCGGGACGCGTCACCCAGCCGAGCTCGAGTCATGCATCAGCGCCATTGACGGCTCTGGTAGTCAGACCAAGACGCATAAGGCAATGGCCGGTCGGACCAACATGGAAATGGGGCGCGGAAAGAGCAAGAGACACTGAGGACCAGATGATGCTGGGAGAAGAAGCATGCGAAAGCTGTTAAATAGGCGCGGGCGGTCGCCTTGTGGGGCCATATGCTGTGAGCCCATAGACATAACGTGGCAACGACTAGACAAAAAGAACAAGGCGGAGTACAAGACGGGCGCCGTGTGAGAGAATAGAGCGGAAGGTTCTTGAACCAGATGGGATAAGTCGCCCTCACCATAGAGTGCGAGTAGAGAGTGCGAAGGAGAGAATCATGATGGCGGGCGATGTCAAGATTGTTGACTGTGCGTGATCGTGGGATTAGTATTCGTAAGCTGATGCACATCTCACTCTTCAAGCGACGACTGTGGACGTTCGTCGTGGAGCCCGGCATGCGGATACGGCTGCTGTACACTGGAGTGCCCCGGCCCCCGGGTCAGACGCTTCTTTCCTCTCGCTCCACTTCTAACAAGAACCTATGTAGCAAGCTTAAGAGAAGCCTGCCATGAGGTAAAAGCTACTCGGATTGCACATATCCGCGCCATTGGCGCTAGACTTAGTCTGTCCTTTACTCCCGCTTCCATGCTTTGCACCTCTGACGCGCCCGTCAAGGTCCCAACCTCTCGGCCTCCCGCTCAGCCTGGGGTACCACCGGGACTGCAAGTCATATGCCTCGGGTTTCCGCGAACAGGCACATCTTGTACGCACATCATGCTTTTCATCGGAATCTCCCCCCTCACTCATAATGATCAACAGCTCTGCGAAAAGCCCTCGAACTGCTAGGCTACACATTCCATCCGAAAGAATCGGCGACGGAGATGGGGCTGAGCACCACCGAACGACGGACATGGAGTCGTGCTATCGATGCCAAAATGTACGGCCGCGGTCGTCGCTTTGCAAAGGAGGATTGGGATGAGCTGTTGGGTGTGGCTAGCGGGACTACGGTGCGTTTGTTGTCGCTTGTGTATGCAGAAACTAACTCTTGTATCTTAGGCAGTCATCGCTGACCTCCCTCACCTTATCTTTTCCTCCGAGCTCATCGATGCATATCCGCACGCTAAGATCATCCTCACCACTCGCAAGGCACGTAACTGGTGGAAATCATACTCGACAATGGTCGAGATCCTCCTTGCGCCAGTGGCCCGTTTCCCATTCGTTCTCCCCTGGAATCAACGCTCAGTGCTTTCCAAGCGCAATTTCAACGTCAAAGCTCTCCGCGCCATCTTCGGACATCCACAGCCAAACCCCGAGCAAGCGCGAAAGCGTTATGAAAAGCACTACGAGAGCATTCGAAGACTGTTGCCGAATGTCAAGCCGGAGGGAGCTTACATAGCACTCGACAGTGCGGCGGCACTCGGCGCAAAAGACCCCGCTGTCAACTTGAACGAATTTCACCAACGACGTCTGGAGTACCGGGTTGGGGAAGGTTGGGCACGCCTGTGCGCCTTTCTGGGGAAAGACGCGCCGGCCGAAGAGTTTCCGTACACCGAGTCGTGGCGTCAGCGTCAAGGGTATGGTACTGGGATACTCCGCCAGTGGATCAACGGGTTTCCGTCCATTGAGAGTTCCCTTAGGACTTCTCTTGCCTCAATCGTAGTCGGTTTGGCTTGCGCCGTCTTCGTCTACTCTGGAGCAAGACGACTAGGACGGTGAAGGGGAGAAACTCCGAGGAATCTCTTACCGCATCTTGTTGCACTTCGTTTTTGGAACGGAGATATTTTTGCGTGCCAATTGCCTGCGGCGATGTGGGCAAAAAATAGATACTGCCGATCAGTCACGCTGTTGATCGTTTCCTCTTCTTGATCCTGACCACAACAGTGGATACGCTGCGGAACATGAGGGCGAGGACTGCCGAAGATGGAAGACGGGCATTCAATACACGTCTCGGTAAGGGATGAGCAGGAACACCGTCGGACGGTATGTCTGCCACATCATAAACAGACGCCAGCTCACTGTGATGTCATGACCCTTAGCCCAAGTGCTGTCTGTTTGGCGCACTGACAACAACGCGTCCAGTCTCTGTGCTCCGAGCTTCTTCCCAAGCAACAAAAATAGCAACTCGACGGCGGTTTTCGCTGATCAAGGACGAATGATTCCAAAAGAATCCAAGTTCTGCCGCAAAGCACTCTTCGCATCAGATCTGAGGGCGAAAGCCTCCGATTCGGAGTCGGAGGGGTCCCCACGGGGTCAAACGACGTGCGGAGTCTTTCCCAGCCACGCGACCCGGGGTTGAGCCGGTCGCCCTCCCCGTCTTCTGTCCCCTCTATCAACCTTCGAAGGCGGCATTCGCTGTCGTCTGGCAGTGTCGGGCCAGCGAGATAAGACAAGATACGCGGTCATCCCGACAAACATGCGGCTTCCAACGTTCCGAATATCATCCACTCACCAGCGCAGAGCAGTTTGCCAACTCGGCAGCTCAGAGCTTCCCGCACTGCCCGAACGTTGCACGCTGGAAGGGGTATAAAAGTCAACGAGGCTCGTTGGCTTCAAACCAGTCCTCCCCTCTCGAACAGGATCCCCGGTATTGGCACTAAAGCAAGTCTCAAGCGATACGACGAGCAACAAGGAGTAAACTGACCACTTTCTACAGATGTTCCCAACCTCTTCGCTCCTCGCCTTTTGCTTCGTGGCAGCGCGCCTCGTTTCTGGTCAACAAGTCGGCACCCTCCAGGCTGAAAACCACCCCTCGTTGCCTTCCCAAAAATGCACGGCTTCGGGTTGCACAACTCAACAGACTGCTGTTGTCCTTGACTCGTGAGTCCTCGCCGAAAATGGCTTCCTCTACTAATAAAACCGCACAGCAACTGGCGCTGGACCCATGCGACCAACTCGTCGACCAACTGCTACACCGGCAATACATGGAATGCTCAGCTGTGCCCGGACCCCACCACCTGCACAGCCAACTGCGCTCTTGACGGAGCCGACTACGCTGGCACTTACGGTATCACGACCTCTGGAAACGCATTGACGCTTAAGTTTGTTACCGGATCCAATGTCGGTAAGTGAACTCTTGTGCGCCAGCTGTTTTCTCGTCCTCATCTGATTACAGGATCCCGTGTCTACCTCATGGCGAACACGACCAACTACCAGAACTTCCAGCTCCTCAACCAGGAGTTCACCTTCGATGTCGACATGTCCAACTTGGGCTGTGGCTTGAACGGCGCCCTCTACCTCTCCGAGATGCCCATGGACGGTGGTCTTAGCTCTACCAACAAGGCCGGTGCGAAGTACGGAACGGGATACTGCGACTCTCAGTGCCCCCAGGTACACCTTGAGTGTTTGTCTGAACGATTACTCACATGGTCGCTATACAGGATTTGAAGTTCATCCAGGGCAAAGCCAACGTGCAAGGCTGGACTGGTTCCGCCTCCGACCCCAACTCTGGCTCGGGCTCCGTCGGCACCTGCTGCAACGAGATGGATATCTGGGAAGGTTAGTAGTTAGATTGCCTTGCGTGCCTGCGTCCGCTCATGGAATCACAGCCAACAAGAACGCGGCTGCGTTTACTCCCCACGTCTGCTCCAGCAAGGGTCTGACTGCTTGCACCGACGCAACCACCTGTGGCACTGGAGACAACCGCTACGCGCAGACCGCCATCTGCGACAAGGATGGCTGTGACTTCAACTCGTACCGCATGGGCGACCAGACCTTCCTCGGCCCCGGCAAGACCGTCGACACCAACTCCAAGTTCACCGTCGTCACCCAATTCATCGCCACCGGCGGCACCCTCACCGAAATCCGCCGCATTTACGTGCAGAACGGCAAGGTCATCCAGAACTCCAACACCAACATCGCCGGAATCTCCCCTGCCGTCAACTCGATCACGGACACCTTCTGCAATGCGCAAAAGGGCACGTTCGGCGATACCAACTCTTTCGAGGCCCGCGGCGGTCTGGCTGCCATGGGTGCCGCTCTTCAGCGCGGAATGGTTTTGGCTCTCAGTATCTGGGACGATCACGCCGCTGGCATGTACTGGCTCGACAGGTATATTGCGCAGGTCATCTTTCATCTACCCTGCTGACGCGCACAATAGCACCTACCCCACCAACGCTAGCACCAGCAGCCCTGGTGTGGCCCGTGGTCCCTGCAGCACCACTAGCGGTGACCCCAAGACCGTCGAGTCGACCGAGGCCAGCAACTCCGTCACCTTCAGCAACATCAAGTTCGGTGACCTCAACAGCACCTTCAGCGCCGGCACCGGAAATGGTAACGGAAACGGAAACGGCAATGGCAACGGTAACGGCGGTGGAAGCACTGGCGGCGGCTCGATCGCAGCCTGGCAACAGTGCGGTGGTATGGGCTGGACCGGCAGCGGCACATGTGTCAGCGGCTCGACATGCACAGTCCTCAACCCCTGTGAGCAGCCTGTCTTTTCTTGCATCAGGCTCAGAGACTGATTCGTTGCAACAGACTACTCGCAATGTATCCCCCACTAAACGAAGGGCCGGCCGGCTGGGGTCTGTGGGCTAGAAAAAATTGCTTCTCTACTGGTTCCTTTCTCTCTCAAAGATGTCTCAAGTATTCTATCACTTGAAATAAATGCTCTCTCTCTCTACGTCGCACTGCAATTCAGCCTGAGTCTCACGGCATAAGCGGAAATCGAGGCTGAGAATAAGCAAAGACGAATTGCGAGTTTTTTTGCTTCGGACAACGAACGGAGGGGGGCAATCGGGAGGAGGCATCAGGGAGGCATGCTTATGAAAGGTTACATTGGCGACCCGGACGCGATCCATCTTAGTCATCTGACAATGTGGCCACAGAGTAGATAAATTGAATATATTAGCAGGTTAATGTTAATGTTAAATGTAGGGGCCAACAACAGAACAGATAACTAACACAAAGCAGATCATATCAGGCGGCAGCAAGGGTAGCACACATAAATCAAATCTTCCATCCTCCGGCGAGTCCCATAACATTCGTGGGGTCCACAATAGCTTTCACGGCCTGCATCGTCGCCAGATTGGAGCCGTAGATGCGTGAGAGGGGGGTGCCGATGAGAGCGTAGTTGGGGTACAGCGGCGCGGTGTCGACGCCGGTCTGGCCGTCGGCGAGGGCGACCTGGGTTAGGTGGGCGGCGCTCGCGCGGAGGGCATCGTGGAAGAAACCGTCGGTCAGCGACGGCGCCCATGCGTAGTAGAGATTGAGCGGGATGAAGGGCTCGGCGGTGAAGGGGAAGGCCTTGGGAAGTGTGCCGTGGGTGTAGATTGAGGGCAGGAATGGCTCGATGTCGTATGAGACGAAGGCGGCACCGGCAAGGGTGAGGGCAGCGCCCCAGTACTATTCAGCGTTAGAAGGGTATACGCCAAGCGCATTCTCATCGACTCACGATGGTTTCGTTGATGATTGCGTCGATCATCGTTTTGGAATAGCTCCGTAGACCAACGGTATGAAATGCTCCTCTGGATAATGTCAATCAGTATAGGCCAATGGAACGAATGATTCCTACCTCGTACCACTGGTGGCATCAGACGGCGCGCTTTGCACCAAGTCGAGGAAGCTCCGGGTCTTGACATCTTTTGTGAAATGTGGAATGGCCAAGAAGTCGTCGAAGATGCCCGACGGAGCGGTTGGTCCGTCGTAGAACATTATGTGCGATACACCAGGCTGCCCTTTGTGTCAGATAGGTGTAACTTGAATGAGCGGAAATAACCTGAGTAGCGAGGAAATTCACGGCTGGAATGATTGCAGCTTTAGGATCGGTAACGTTGGCGGCGAATGCAGCAACTGCATTGGCGACTGCGGGCAGTTTATCGGCGGTATAAGTAATCAAGCCTCCCTGTGGGGTAGTCAGAGCATTGTTGAGGTATTAGCAACGGATGCCTCACCCAGACTTGGGTCTAAAGGGCGGAGATCAACGCCAGAATCGGATGGAATGAGACCTAGCTTACCTGAGGGAAAGTCTTGAGAGTGAAGTCCGTAACGATCCCAAAGTTATTGCCTCCACCCTATATAGAAAGAGCCGTCAACGCTAGTCGAACAGGAGCCCAAGAAGTCCACACCTTCAACGCAAAGAACAACTCAGGGTCGGAGGCCTGGGTGACAGTCACGACGGCCCCCGAAGGCTTGACGAGTTTATACGCGGTAATAGTATCCACCGTCAGGCCATACTGGTTCGTCTTCCAGGAATAGCCTGCGGATTATGATTAGGCCTGGGGAACGGAGATGCACCGGCATACACACCTCCGCCCAATGTGAAGCCCGCGACACCAACGCCTGACACGCGGCCGCCGACAACATTCACGCCCAGCGGGTCCAGCGCAGCATAGACCTTGAACTAAATCAGTTGAGGTGAGGGAAAGCCATGGTCTCGACTCACATCATCCCATACCAAGCCCGCGCCGATCCTGACGGTCTGGCTGGGGGCATCGTAGACCACGTCGGAGAACTTGGTCATGCTGATGTGTACGCCGGGCGTAGAAGAAAAGCCAGGATTGGCTGTATGGCCGCCGCCTTTCACCTGCAGCACATTCATCAGGGTAAGTGAAGCATGCGAAGAAGACCCTCCGCACAGCGAATGGAACCCTCGCGCTCCCAATCAGGGTAAGCTGCAAAAGGTTACATGAGATGTCCCAAGCTATAGATGAACAAAACGCACGATAGTGCCCACATCCGCCGCGTTGGCGGGCTCGACTGTACACGCAGAGAGGTCGGAGCTCGACGACGCCCAATGCGAGAGGTCTGCCGCGTAGTTTCCGAGGAGGTCAACTGCGGAGGCTGCGTCAAATATCGACACTTGAAGTAAGCCGCTACACACCTGGATAGTACACTTTCGTGGCCGGCGATGTACCCAGGTTGATTTGCCCGCACACGTCGACTGCGGCCAGAGTAGCGCCCGCCAACAGATGCAAACTCGCCAGAGACGTCGCCAGCAAAAGAGCCATCCGGGTGAAGCGGTCGGTGAGCGCGTCCCTGTAGCGCAGTCCATGTATTTATATTTCTTCCAGAACATTCCCGTCAGACAGAGGCGGCCGGGGCCGACAGCTAAAATGGGCCTATGATATCACAGAGAATTTTAATAAAACACTTACGAATGGCAGATGTCGACAGGTCCGGACAGAGTGAATGCTGAGTTTTCTGGCGGATCCGCGGATCCAGCTAGCGGTGGTGGGGTGTTTGTGAATGTGTTACTGGATGTGGGGGGTCTTCGTACTAGTAAAAGACCACAGGCCGAGATTCATAGCTTTCGTGGGTAGTGCGGACGACGAGTGTATTAGACCAAAGCTATACGTTGATTTGGCGAACGGGAAACTGTGGCCGACCGAATGAAAAACCGACATGACGCCATTCTTCCTCTCTGACACAAAATGCATTAGAAAGGCGGGCCTAAAAGGCAATCACAAAGAACGTACGATTGCGTTGAATCTGTCATCTCGCGTGTTAGATGTTTCATTCCTTGACATGAGTGGAGCGTGCAATGTCAAGGCAGCGTCACTTGTGTAGATATCGCTGGTATTTTAGACTCGGAGAGTACGCCACAAGTGTTCGGAGGCTCTATGATAACTCGTAAGTGCCGACGCTGAAACTGGGAGATGGAAGCGGTATACGCGTGAGTCTCATGCACCAGGCATAGAAAGCATCGAGCTTATGGTGGCCTAGATATACCTAGGCCGCCCGACCGCGTGTTTGTTCGAGGTAGGTATGTGTCGTGGTGGGTGAGAAGAGAAAAGGCTTAGCGCGTGACGTCATCAACTTGGCACAAACTTGGCATATCCATCAATTGGTCGATCAAACACAGCAAATACCGAGAAGCCAGACAGGCACCAAAGAAAACTGGAGCATGGTTAAAAATTTTAATAATCCAAAAAGGGTCATCTTTATAAATTGGAAGAAAGAGTTGAAAAGGGTCAAATAGATAGAAAAGAAATCTATGATCCTAAAAATGGCTTCCCAGATTGTGGCAAAAAAAGCTTGCCTATAGTGTGAAAAATGGAACTTGTTTGGTTACAAGGAGCCTTTTTGTATTAAAATATTGATTTCTTTCTTTTTTTTTCTCTGTCAAGATTGCTATTTTATTCATTGGGTCTTTTTGACTCTTGTTTCCCAATAAATAAAGATATCCCTTTTTAGCCAATTATTACCCTATTGAATTTTTTTTTTTTAAATCCTCCAGTTTTCTTTTAAATAGGGTACATGGGTAGGTTAGACCCATGGGTTGGCAACTTGGGCTAACCTGTCACAGCCCAGGCCTTCTGTGCCCAACAGCAGCAGCTGTGGACAAGCAAAGACCACGCTTATTAAAGCTAAGGACGAGTATAAACAGTACTACGATCGGAAATGTTCAGACGCACCGAGTATCCAAGTCAGTGACAAGGTTTGGCTCGACGCCTCTGACATTAGAACGACTCGGCCCTCTGAGAAGTTCTCACATAAGCAAGCGAGTTGGGCCATTCAAGGTACTCGCAGAGGTTAGCAAGGGTGCCTACAAGCTAGACCAACCCCTGCGCTACTCCAAGCTTCACCCGGTCTTCCTCATTGTTAAGCTCAAGCCCGCTAAGGACAACCCCTTCGATGGATGACCTGGTTACAACGAACCGCCCCCGAACTAGAAGACGGAGTCCCCAAATGGGAAGTCGTGGAAATCTTGGATGCCGCAATAAGGTATAGGCAACTTAACTACTTCGGTCAGGTGGAAAGGCTATGATGCTTCACATGACTCGTGGGTTTGGTTCGGCCACGTCTTTGTGCCAGACAAAGTTGCAGACTTCTATCAGAGATACCCAGGTAAACCGCAACACATTGCCTCAGCAACTTTTGACTTGCTGCCCTTCCGTGTTATGCGTCGGGACACCGCATTCAAAGAGAGGGGGGGGGTGATGTCAGGGAAACCCCTGCTTCAGCCTCCTTTGGATTGTCCAAGCGCATCCAACCAGTGCCCACCCCGACCCTTGCCCCCGGCCTCCTTTACCCGCACAATCACCGATCTGTCAAGACCCTCCCAACAATCACCTTGGGACAGAGCCTGCGATGCTGCTCAGGCCTTCTGCGCTCTACGTTGGCAGTTACAGACGATGTCAGGGGAACCCCCACTTCGGCCTCCTTCGGACCCTCCGAACGCATCCGAGGCGCATCCGACCGGCGCCACCTCGGACGCTCCGACCCACCCCGACCATCGTCCACGGCCTCCTTCGCCCGCACAATCACCGATCCGTCAAGACCCTCCCAACGATCACCTTGGGACAGAGCCTGCGACGCCGCTCAGGCCTTCTGCGCTCTACGTCGGCAGTTACGGACGACCAGTATATAGTTGGCGCCCTAGCAGGCGGACCCTTAGAGTTTCTTCTCTTTGGATCCTCCCCTGCTAGGTCGGTCCCTCCGTGTATTTCCTGTAGTCTTATTCACGCTTTGGATCCTCCCCTGCTAGGCTTTCGTCGGAGTCTCCAGGGTTGCCCTTACAGCAGAAGAAACTCTCTACGGGATTAACCGGTCAAGATTGCCAGGTTTGGTGCTGACTCAGGCTCGGAGTACGAGTCCGTACCCCCCTCGTCACCGCCCCTGCCACTTGACCCCTCCTCCTCTGCTCTTGTCGTCTTTACGCCCGCTATGTCTACCGGAGCTGCTCCGGACACTGACGCGCATGGACGCACTTGAGGCGAAACTAGACAACCTCACCAATATCCTCACCCACCTTGCTTCCCAGGCTTCCGCTGCCGCACCACCTCCGGCAGCTCCCGAACCGCCTTCGGGCGTCTCCGAATGCCCCCGACGCGGATGCGTTATTTGGTGACATTACTGTCGCCTCAAAACTGGTCTTACGACCAAACCCCCCGTTTGCGTTTAACGGAGATCGCAAACGCGGCCGCGCCTTCCTATACGCGGTCAAAACCTACGCTCGGCTTGCCCCGGAGGCCTTCGTAGTTAACGGAGAGCCGAGCGAAGAAAAGGCCGTCCGCTACGCCATGTCCTATATGGCGGAGGGACCTGCTCAGCAATGGGCAGAGCGTCATGGGAGCAAAAACCCCTTCCCCTTCCCTCGGTGGAGCCAGTTCCTCTCCGAGTTTCGCCTTCGGTTCGTCGAGGAGAACGAACAGGACCTCGCGCTCGCTAAGTTGGAAAGCGGGTTATCACATGGGAACGCGGGATGTCTACGGATATACCGACGACTTCGAGGACTTGATAGACCTCGCTGGCTTCAAGACGCGTTGGTTAAGGTAACCAAGTACCGCCACGGACTTGACCCCTTGATCAACAACGGCATCACCTCTTCGAACGACCCCCCAGACCTCCGTGACTACCTGGGCTGGCGCACTCGGGCTTTCCGACAATATGAAGCCCTGGTGCGAGCGAAGCTCATTAAGGGAACGGCTACCCCGCGGACCGCTTCGGGAGCTCCGCGCGGCGCCTTCCCCATCACTCGTTCGGCAACTCCGTTCCCCATCCGCCCGGTGGCCCCGTCTGTGCCACCCGCGGCCCGCGCCTGTGCCACCCGCGGCCCGCGCCCCCGTCCCGGTACCTCCGGCTCCCGTCCCTATGGAGCTGGATCGTACTAGGGCTCGGGGTGCCCCTCGTCGAGCCTGCTTCAGATGCGGCGACCCCAACCATTTGGCTCGGGACTGTCCGCTCCCCGCCGACGTCCGCCATGTGGACATCCTCGACGAGGTAATCCAGCAACTTGGCGATGAGATGCTGGGAGAGCTGCTTGCGCGGTTGTCCGATACTGCGGCCTTAGCGGAGGCGCATTCGGAGGCTCCGGCAGAGGATTTTGTCCCCCGCGACGAGTGACTGGTGTGCCCTCGTTCGCGTCCCATAAATCGTTTCACTTGTTTGTATGATGAATCAACTCCCTTGCCCTACAACGAGCCCGAAACGAAAGACGCACCCTCTGCCCCCTCCGAAGCCCCCGTTCGGATTCGCCGACTTGCCTGGGAGAAAAAGCTACCTGGCAGTTATACCATCTCTGCCGCTCCTGGCGTTAACTCGCTGCACCTCCCCCTTGAACTTGAGTCCACTGCGAACGCGCTCAAGCTCTCCCTCTCGGGTCTGGTCGACTGCGGAGCCACTTCGGACTTTATCGACACAGAATATGTCAACCGGAATAATGTGCCAGTCCGAAATCTCTCAGTACCCATCCCGGTCTACAACGTCGACGGCACCCCCAATGATGCTGGGTCTATTCACCAAATCGCGGACCTCGTTCTACGGTACAACGGACACTCCGAACGCGTTCAGCTGGCTGTAACCCACCTTGGGAAACAGGACCTGATACTCGGATACTCCTGGCTCAAAAAGCATAACCCCGAGATCAACTGGGAAACAAAGGAGGTGAAAATGAGTCGTTGCCCCCTGCAGCTGCTCTACCTGCCGTGACGAAGAGCGGACCGAACGTGCCGAGGTTCGGCGGCTCCGACTCCTTAAATCACGACTACTTGCGGGCGCCTTCCCCACTGTTTGCGCTATCGATATCGCTGGCCCAGATGATGCTGACGACGAACTCGGAGCTGCTTCGGACCCTCCGGAGCCCTCACCAGATCTCGACGGCGACGAGCATCTTGAAGACGGCGACCGCATCTTCTACACCTCCTTTCGCCCAGTTGAGGAGATCCGCGCTGGCAGTACAGTGTCCCAACGCCTTGCAGAGGCCTTCGCCCGTAACTCCGCCCCTCCGCCTTCGGAGATCCCGGACTGGGCCAAGGAGTTCCAAGACGTCTTCGACAAGGAGTCCTTTGACACGTTACCAGAACGAAGAGCTTGGGACCACGCTATCGAACTCGTCCCCGACGCGAAGCCCGCTAACTGCAAGGTGTATCCGATCTCCCCCCTCGAACAGCGCGAACTTGACGAGTTCATCGAGGAAGGACTTGCCACAGGCCGTATTCGCCCTTCGAAATCTCCGATGGCCTCCCCCGTCTTCTTCGTTAAGAAAAAGGACGGAGGGCTTCGGTTTGTCCAGGACTACCGCGCCCTCAACGCAATGACGATTAAGAACCGGTACCCCCTTCCGTTGATTAACGACCTTATCAACAGGCTCAAGGGCGCTCGTTACTTCACCAAACTCGACGTTCGCTGGGGTTTTAATAACATCCGGATTAAAGAAGGAGACGAGTGGAAGGCGGCCTTTCGGACTAACCGAGGGTTGTTCGAACCTTTGGTGATGTATTTCGGCCTGACAAACTCCCCCGCGACGTTCCAAACGATGATGAATGACATTTTCCAGGATCTCATTCTTTCAGGCGACGTTATGATCTACCTCGACGACATCCTTATCGCACATTCGGACCTCCGCAAGCACCGCGAGATCGTCCGGGAGGTCCTTCGGCGGCTCCGAATGCACAAGTTGTACCTTCGCAAGGAAAAGTGCGACTTGAGAAATCGTCAATCGAGTACTTGGGGGTCATTATCTCGCACAACCATGTCGAAATGGACCCCGTTAAGGTCGCCGGAGTCTCCGCATGGCCTCCGCCCGAAAACAAGAAGGACGTTCAGCAGTTCCTGGGGTTTGCTAATTTCTACCGCAGGTTCATTCGGGATTTCTCGGCCCTAGCGCAACCTCTCTTTGCGCTCACCAAGAAAGACCAGAAATGGACCTGGGGAGACGCCGGCCGCCGCCTTTCAAGCCATCAAGGACGCGGTCATATCAGAACCTGTCTTAGCGATCCCGGACGACTCTCGGCCTTTCCGACTTGAAGCAGACAGCTCAGATTATGCGACGGGGGCGGTTCTTTCACAACAATCCGCCCTGGACGGGAAGTGGCACCCTGTAGCGTTCTATTCCAAAAGCTTAAATGATGTCCAGCGCAACTACGAGATTCACGACAAAGAGATGCTCGCGATCATCCGCGCACTCGAGGAGTATCGGCATTTCCTCGAGGGCGCCGCGCATCCGGTTGAGATCTGGACTGACCATAAGAACTTGGAATACTTCCAAAGGCGCAACACCTTAATCGTCGGCAAGCCCGATGGTCGTTGTACCTTTCCAGGTTTGACTTTACGCTGCACCACGTCCCCAGGTCGCCAGATGGGCCGTCCCGATGCTCTCTCCCGCCGGCCTGACCACGGTATCTCCGACGATAACTCGGATGTCACCCTCTTACGCCCCGAACTGTTCCACGTTCGCGCGCTTGAGGCCGTCACTGTCTCTGGGCCTGGCTCCGAACTTGTCCGCGACATCAAGGAAGCGCTATCCGGTGAGCCTGACCTAGAGGAACCCGTCGCACTTGCGGCTCGGCAACTCTTGAAGGTCCGAGGTCAAGCTCGGGGCCCCCGCTCATCGCGTTCGGACGAGTGGGCCGTCTCAGGCGACCTCCTGTACTTCCGCGGCAAGGTTGTAGTCCCCAAAGACAAAGACCTGAGGAGGCGCATTATAGAGCTCTGCCACGACACGCGTGTCGCCGGACATGCCGGGCGGTTCAAGACCCTGGAGTTGGTTTCGGCGCAACTACTGGTGGCCACAGATGTCCCGCCATATCGGACGCTACGTCGCGACCTGCGACTTATGCTGTCGTCTGAAGGCCCTCCGAAGGCTTCCGCACGGGGAGCTACATCCAACCGAAGTCCCCCGAGCGCTGGCACACCGTCACTGTGGACTTCATCGTCCGAGCTCCCCGAGGCCCATGGGTATGACGCGGTTATGGTAGTGGTTGACGCCCTCGGGAAACGCCTCACTTCACCGAATGCCATACGACAATAGACGCGGTCGGAGCTGCCCGCTTGTACTATCGGAACGTCTGGAGACACCACGGAACCCCCGAGAAGTACATTTCGGACCGCGGTTCGCAGTTCATCGCTGACTTTACGCGCAACTCTGGCGCTTAATTGGCGTCAAGCCGGCTACCTCTACGGCTTACCACCCGCAGACCGACGGACAAACCGAACGCGTTAACCAGGAGCTCGAGCAGTACATCCGAATCTTCACCAACTACCAACAAGACGACTGGGACGAGCTTATCCCTGCCGCTGAGTTCGCCTATAACAACCACGTTCACTCCTCCACTCAACAGGTACCCTTTATGACGGACACTGGCCGGCTCCCCCGAATGGGTTTCGAGCCGGGCACCCGCTCAGAGTTGGAGTCAGTGAACGAGTTTCGCGATCGGATAGCGAACGGCGTCTCCGAGGCGAAGGCCGCGCTCGTCAAAGCCAAAGACGAGTATAAACGGTACTACGATCGGAGACGATCGGACGCTCCGAATATTCAAGTTGGTGATAAGGTTTGGTTAGATGCCTCTGACATCAGAACAACTCGGCCCTCCGAGAAGTTCTCCCACAAGCGCCTCGGACCGTTTAAGGTGCTCGCAGAGGTTAGTAAAGGTGCCTACAAGCTCGACCTCCCCCGCGTTACTCCAAGCTCCACCCCGTCTTCCCCGTTGTCAAACTCGAGCTCGCTCAGGACGACCCCTTCAATGGACGACCCGGCTACGACGAACCGCCCCCCGAACTAGAGGACGGAGTCCCCGAGTGGGAAGTTGAGGAAATCTTGGATGCCAGGATAAGGTATAAGCGTCTTAACTACTTCGTCAGGTGGAACTCGTGGGTTTGGTTCGACCGTGTCTTCGCGCCAGACAAAATTGCGGACTTCTATCGGAGGTACCCAGGTAAACCACGGCACATCGCCTCAGCGACCTTCGACTCCTTGCCCTTCCGAACTATGCGTCGGGACGCCGCATTCAAAGGGGGGTGATGTCAGGGGAACCCCCCGCTGGCCTCCTTCGACCCCTCCGAACGCATCCGAGGTGCATCCGACCGGCGCCCCCTCGGACGCTCCGACCCACCCCGACCATCGTCCCACGGCCTCCTTCGCCCGCACAATCACCGATCCGTCAAGACCCTCCCAACGATCACCTTGGGACAGAGCCTGCGACGCCGCTCAGGCCTTCTGCGCTCTCGTCGGCAGTTACAGACGACCAGTATATAGTTGGCGCCCTAGCAGGCGGACCCTTAGAGTTTCTTCTCTTTGGATCCTCCCCTGCTAGGTCGGTCCCTCCGTGTATTTCCTGTAGTCTTATTCACGCTTTGGATCCTCCCCTGCTAGGCTTTCGTCGGAGTCTCCAGGGTTGCCCTTACAGACGACCAGTATATAGTTGGCTCCCTAGCAGGTGGACCCTTAGAGTTTCTTTCTCTTTGGATTCTCCCCTGCTAGGTTGTTCCCTCCATGTATTTCCCATAGCTTTTACTGTAGCAATTTATTCAATTCGGCAGTCACGTGTCACACCAGCCCTCCGGCGCCAAAATATTTCGGCGTGTCACGGGCCCACAGCCAGATGCCGAATGTCAAATGCCCATCAAAGCATCAAAAAGATTTTGGCGGCCGCTAAATAGGCTGAAAAATTCCGGCTGTCACCCACATCAACAGGCAGCACTGAAAATTTAATTTCAGTGCCGATGTCACACCATTTTGGGGCGCCGAATTGAATAAATTACTACAGTATTCCCTCTTTGGATCCTCCATCTTGTAGCATATTTGGCGCATCTATTTGCTACAAATCATAGCCACAAAAGTGTCAGCTGATATTGGCTTTAAGTTGAGTCTAATGTGATAACTTAATATATACTGCCATTCCTTCCAAATAAAGTCTACTTTACTAGAGTTTCATTTGTCATCTTTTCAAGTTGTTAAAATAGACATTTTTTGTCTACTATTTATCATCAACAAATCCTACTTTGGGGCCCATTTTTGGTAGAAACCCCAGTGTGTATAGCAAATGTTATTGATTTGTATTTCAGAAAAATTATATCCCTGCAATTTTTTAATCCATATTGGATTTTTCTCTCTCATGCATAGCAAAGTTGAGAAATTTGATTTAATATTGATTTTTAGTAATGTGTTGCCGACAGGTTTGTTTTGTGACTTGTCACATATCATCTTACTACTGAAATGCACTACCCTCTCTGATTATTGATTGGCAGGCCAGTCCAAAGGGGGGGGAACCCTTGTCTGTGTTGAGATTGGCTAACTTGCAACTGGACCCAATCCCTGATTCTTGCTGCTAACTCAAGAAAAAGGAGGATGAAAAGCTACCTATGCTTTTTGGCTGCCTTACTGTGGAAACGTCCATGAGGACATAATTGTCGACACGAAACCTCGGCATTTGATATCATAAGAACAGTTGATGGGTCATGTGTCGATCGCTCCGGTGATCCGACACTATGCGGCGACACAGCCCCCGAATTCTTTTCTGTCTCAACCCTGCATGTCCCGCGGGAGCGAGAACTGGGATGCATCCACTACAACTCGAGAGGCGAACGAACCCGTCCAAGAACCTATGTTGCCAACGCTCAGTGCCGCTGATATTGTCGTGCTTCGACAAGAGGCAGCAACACTTGACGACACGATCGCTGCACTCGAACGTCAGCTAGGACAACTCAAGGCCCGGCGCGACGCTATCCACACTATGCTATCGGACGTGATCTACCCCATGCACACCCTCCCCACCGAGCTCCTTTGCCACGTGTTCCAGGCGCTTGTCGCCTTGTGTCTTCCGGACGAGGTCAATTCTGCGCTGCTCGCGGTCACGGCGGTGTGCCAGCGATGGCGAAGCATTGCGATTGCGGACCCACACTTATGGACGACGACATGCTACATTTTGCGCGGCGGTCCCGACCCGCTATTCGACCACTTCCTGGCGCGCACCCAGGGGCTGCCGATTGCGATCGCCATCGAGGAAACTAGACACACGTCAGAGTGCGCGCTCACGCCCGCAGTGCTCAGCTCCTGCCACCAATGGCGAGAGGCCGATCTGTCGGTTGCTGACCTGGATGTACACTTCCGGATAGAATCCCCAGACACAGAGTTGGATCTCCCACACCTTACCAAGCTCAGGCTCAACGTCGATCAGCGCACCGAATATTATAATTACCAGACATTTGCGCATGCGCCGCGCCTGCAAGACCTGGCCATCAGCTACCCCAACCTGATCCGCAGTCTCGGTTTCCCGATGCACCAGCTGCGCAAGCTCTCAGTGCTTCATCGGGCCGCAGCACGGGACGTCCTCTCACTCCTTCCGGAACTCGTAGTGCTCGAAGAGCTCGCCGTCGCCTCCCTCCTCCGCATCACGAATCGGGATCAGCAAATGGTCGAAATGCGCTCCCTGACCACCCTGCGTCTCCTCGGCGAAAACAGCTGCGTAATCCTACGCTATCTCCTCCTCCCGCGCCTCGCCTTGCTCCATCTTGCCGAGCTCGACGACTACGACGCTGACGTGCTCGTCCGCGGCTGTCTGTCCCGCTCGGCCACCGATATCGCTGCGCTCTCCCTTTTCCTTGTGGACGTGCACTGCTCCGCGCTCCTCATGCTCCTCCGCCCGCGCGTCGTCGGTGGCGCGCTCACGTGCCTTACCATCGCGAAGCTCAAGGCGACACGCATGGAGCAGAAAGCACTCGCGGCGCTTCTTGCGAGCGCTGACTTCCTGCCGGACCTCGCGGCGCTCACCCTCGTTGCGCCGTCGCCGGCCGTCCTCGGCGCGTTCTGGGACGGCCTCGCCCGGCGTCTGGCGAACGCGGCTCAGGGTGCCAAGCATGCGGTGAAGCTCCGGCAGCTTGTGGTGCAGCCGGAGGGGATGTCTACGGATGACATGCGCCGACTGCGCGAGTTGCAACGGCGCCTAGAAACGTAGTAATACACTGGCATGTACATATCATGAATCACGATGAGAAGTCTATATGAGCAACTTTGGTGGGAAATAGCTTTTGAGCCAGGATCTTTGTAAACATATAAAACACATGTCTTTCTACAACCCATTTACATACACCCAATAAGTAAAAACAGTGCTAGTTCAAAATATCACCTAAGAACTCAGAGATGTTGCAGACTTATTGAGGTATTTATTGCAGGATAGGGCATTAATTGATAGGTGGTTTTAGTGCTGGCCAGAAATCTATATTATAGTCACAGAATATTCAACTATAGTAAGGTGGATGACCACAGCTATTTTCTCAGTCCATGTACTCAGTGATAGTACTAATCTTAGTCTGAGTTAGCCCTACTTCTGATAAATGTCACATATTATCTATTATATATGGTGATTCATACATTACTGTCCTATTTCAATCAACTGTCCATGTTACGTGTTACATTGATGAAAAAAAAAAATCCTCTTAAATCAAAAGAGATTTTTGGTCCAAAATTTTTTTAAAAAAGTGCGGGACACTTGATCAAAATAACACTACTCCTAGTAGGAACAAGTGTTAGGAGTCCGGGAGTAATCACTTTAGGCTGGGTTGTGTCAGCATCGGGCTCGGGCCGTATCGGGTCGTCGGGTTATCTGACTTCAAGTGGGTCTGAGGAGCATGAAGAATGGGGTTTAGCCCGGAGAATAGACAATATTAGCCTAACAACTACATCCTGCAAGTACAGTTTTTATACGCTAGGATATTAGGGATGGATCGGATGGGTGCCAGGTCCCAGGGCGGATCGGATGGGCGCTGTGTAGGGCCCGTAGGGGTGAAGGGAAGGGGTTGGAAGAATAGGAAGCTTTGAGGAGTGCGGCGGAGATGCAGGCCCAAGCGGGCCCAAACGGCCCCATGGCCCAGCAGCCCGACCCGAACTGTGACAGGTTGACCCTATTAAACATAGTGTAGAACCCCCGATCAAGTGTCTGCTGGCCAACCTAATACTAGTGGCAATGCCCTGATTGTATTTTAAGAGTCCTATGTATCTAAGGCTCGACTTAGAGAGGCCTAAGAAAAAGTTGCCCTGACAATTCAGCATGTATTTTATGTTTTTAATTTTTCTTTCCTAGCAGCAAATATGTCAAATATATGATTATAGTTAAATATATTCATGACATATTCATATTTTGCAGCTGAATATGATTATACTATACTACAAATATATTATTGTGATGGAGCTCTGAATCTGATATGATTATAATATATTATGCCCATAGAATAATATAATCATATTTGGCAGCACTAGGTGGTTTGGAACAACTGTCATATGACTTATGAGTAGTTATTATTTCATACTTACTACTGAGCTTCTATTTCACATAGCTCATATATTAGCTGGTATAACAAAAAAAATTGTATTAAAGACTTATAAAGTAGTTTAAGTATATTCACGAGTTGTTGTTTTCTGGCGCAGGGGCTATTAGAACAATGTTAAGTAACTACAAGGATTTAGAACAAGAGTATTTTCGAAAAAATTTATAAGAAAGTTACCACTTTTCTTAACTAGAGATCCTTCCAAAAATGATTGATGAAAAAAAAAAGTAAAGAAACAACATAACAACTACGCTGGCACAGGCCTACGCCGAAGTTTGGCCACACCCATGTGCGAAGTCTCTGTCCTAACCACATCATAGGAATGGAAGATAGAAGATAAAAAGCGAGAAGTGATCGTCGAGCAGCGTCGATTGCTGACCCGTTCTGTGGGGGTGAAACATAACAGGCACCGGGCCCTATGTTTCACAGCCAAACCTATCTAAATAAGGCAATTTCCGCATATAATCCTGGCTGTTTCAATGTTTCAGGCCTGTAATGGTCCTCCAAGTTCACTCTCACAGAACCGGTTAGTGGTACGTGTTGAAATGGGAGAAGAAAGGGCAACCCACTGGCAGTAATGCATCAAACCAATCAGCAAGACCACACCCTCGGCAGCCTGCAGGGTCCCCACTGTGTTGACAAAATGTATTCGGGAACTCGTACTGGTACAATGAGAGAGCCGTCAAGGGGCTATATGGTTCGCGACAGGAAGTTGACAGTGACTGAAGTAGGCTCGCTTATGCCAGCACCCAACGTAGGGTGCTGTAAGTAATTCCCCAGCCAATACTTACAAGTGTCTCTAACAGTTTTTAAAAACAGGGGTGTTTATAAACAGTTTTTTGAAACAAGGGGGGGGATTACTTAATATACTTTAGTGTCTATAATAATTATCTAGTACTACTACGTCTATAGTCTGGTACCACCCTATCATTAGACTACCTGTTGATAGCAACAGTATTTTCCATCTCAGCAACTAGGTATCTACTATCCAGAAGGAAATTACCATATTTGGTAGTGTTGATTGTGTGACTGATGTTATATAATGTCACACATGGCTGTTTACAAACACCCCCCACCCCCAGGAATTAGAAACTAATATTGTTTTTAAAAACATGTTTCTAACTGGTTTGTAAACCAGATCAACTTACAGCACCCTAACCCACAGATGAAAGGGCAAGCACGATCACCGCCAGAGGGGCTGGAACAGAATCACCGTTGGCTTAGGGAGATTGGCGTTTCGGGTGCCAGAATCGACCCTCACTGAATTGCAAGATTTTTGCATCAGTCGATAGCCAGTGAGATTCTAAGAGTCGCTATGTTTTTATTTTTGCGAGAAACTCAAAACTATGTGTGCTACGAAGTAATCTATGATACTCGGCCGACCGGCACCGATCCTAATATGGAAACGATGCTCCGCGCCCGCCCAACACCATCACCGAGCAGTGTCACAAGGTGACGGTGTCGGCGGGCTAAAAATTACTTTATAGCACACGCAGTTGAGTTTTTCATAAAAATAAAAACATAGCAAGTCTTAGAATTCTACTGGCTATCGACTGGTACAAAATTTTTACTGATCTGAGAAGGTCGATTTCGGCGGGCCAGCAATTCGACGACCAAAACGCCGATCTCTCTAAGCCAATAGTGATTCTGTTCCAGTCGTTATTGGTTGTCACACCAATACTATGATGCACACCGTAATTGAAATGTGTACTTGTAATTGAAAATGTGGAATAAAATGGTCAATTCTCTTCCAACAGAATCCTTCCGGCATGCTTAAGATGCATAACTGGGGTCAACTAAACAAAGTGCAAAAGAAATCTCACCTAGATCTGCAGTGGGAGGCAAGATATATTCCTGCCGGTTTTCAGCGTGACAACTTCAATGTCCGCTCACTTAGCTCTCAGCCGAAACTCCGGCAGTCAATGGCAGGTGTCGCACGTGAGTGAAAACCAACACGATCACGACTCATGAACGCCGATGAGACAGAAAGAAAGCTAGCCGCTGGTGTCGCAAGACTTCGACAAATGCTGAAGCCCAACATATCCCAGGTGGCTGCGCAACTCGGCATCAAATACACAACATTGCGCAATCGCTTCCAGGGTGTGACTCGTTCTCGGGCGGAAAAGCATGCAGAGCAGCGCCTTCTCTCTGACGAGCAAGAAGCAGCGCTTGTTGATTGGCTTATTTTTCTGGCTGCCACGGGCCATCCAGTTGACAAGCGGACCATTCGCACCCTCGTCAAAGGCATGATTGGACATCTTCCGAGCAGAAGCTGGATGCGAGACTTTCTGGATCGGAATCCCGACATTACCCTGGGAAAGGTAGCAGCCCTAGAACCGAAACGAGCGCAGGCCTTCAATCGTCCGGTTGTTGGCCGTTACTTCGAGATGCTGAAGAAGATTATTGACAACAATGACATTCCAATGGAGAACGTGTACAATATGGATGAGAAGGGCGTACAAGGAGGAGGCGGCAAGAAGACCAGCAGTGTCAGGGGAACCTCCCTTTCGGCCCGGAGACGCACCCGATTCCGGTCCGACTCCGGTTCCGACTCCGGTCCGGCCCTCCATCTCGCCCGCACAATCACCGATCCGTCACAGTACATATAGCTGCATCTATGCAAAAGATGTGGGTACCATCCCAAGGGGGTAATGCAAAAGATGTTATGACAGATGTATTTCATGAATTTCTCACTGGAATCAAGAGATATGACTAATATAAAAATACGTATAGGAAGATAAATCACCTTTTCTTTGGGCCGAATATTCGTAATATTATATTTGGGACCTATAAGCCCAGGGACCAAAAAATTAATAATCGATTAAGTAAGGTTGATGTAGCAAGATGCAGTCATCAAAAGCTCTGATGGCAATTAAAAATCGTTCCACATTGATCAACATACCTGGCTGCCATTGATCCCATCACTGATACCTTGATATAGCAGCCACAAACAAGAAAACAGTGTTATTTAATTTAATTTCCAAGCAGTTGCCCTCATCTTTTGCATTACCCCCCTAGGATGCTACCCACATCTTTTGCATAGATGCAGCCATATGAGCTGTCCGTCAACGCCCTCCCGACGGTCGCCCTGGGACCTCGCCTGCGACGCCGCCCAAGCCTTCTGTGCCCGACAGCGGCAGCTACGGACAAGCAGTATATAGTCAGCTACCTAGCAGGCGGACCCTTAGAGTTTCTTCTCTTTGGATCCTCCCCTGCTAGGTCAGCTTCATTTGTATTCGCTTACCAGTGTTCACGCTTTGGATCCTCCCCTGCTAGGACCTTGATCTCAGGCCTCCGGGGTTGCCCTTACAAGCAGCCGCAAGTACTTTCTCGCAAAAACAAGAATGTCCGCACTTCCTATCGCTTTCGTAGTGGGAATCTTGAGCTTGTCACGATAATCGAATGCGTGTCTGCTGATGGGACTGCCCTCCAACCGGGCTTCGTGTTTTCTGGCCCAGAATTTTGTCCGGAATGGTTTGAAGAGGAGGGTGTAACGTAGGGTGCTGCTTCCTGTGCTGTTCCAGGTGACTGATAATTCTAGGGTATCAATGTTGGAGAACGGATGGATGGACAATGTCTTGGGCAGTGAATGGCTTGAGAAGAACTTCCTTCCTCAAGCGACTGCTCGTAACCACTCCGGCAAACCAATTCTTCTCATTTACGATGGTCATGGCTCTCATGACACGCTCCCGATTATCCAATTTGCACGACACAACAATATTATCCCTTTTTGTCTTCCCCCACACACCACGCATAAGCTACAGCCCCTTGATGTTGGAGTGTTTGGTCCCTTCCAGCGCCTCTGGGTTGACTACTGCAATAACTACATTGCCGAGCATGACAAGGAGATTCCGAAGGAGGACTTTGTGAAGCACTATATGCTTGTCCGAGCACAGTCCTTCAAGCGAACAACTATCAAGTCAGCCTGGCGGTCAAGCGGGGCATGGTCAGTTGATTACTCGGTCTTCACGGATGCAGACTTTGCCCCTAGCGTCTCATTTTCCACAATGGCGGACGGTTTTCCATCAACATTTCCTGTCAACACTATCCGCACAGCGCTTGAAGCTTACCAAGCAGCGCTCAACCCATATTTCTCTGTCAACACTTTTCGCTCAGCATTGCAATCAGACGATGAAACGGACGTGAGCTCCAGTGATGATTCCTCAATCAACGACACCGATGTAGCGCCAACTCCTACCCGCCGACTTACTGCTGGAGATCTCGAAAACATTAATCCATCCATATTCCTTATGCCTCAACTTCTCTCACAAACCCCACAAATCAGCCTTCCCAGCATAGAGCCGCTACTGTCTTCTACTCCAACTCCAAGCCCATCAACCCACCCTCGGCGGCGACTTGCAGCCACAGAACTTCCTGGAGCCCCACCTGCAAAACGCGCCAAAGTCACACTAGAGTATGTCAACTCGCTTGAGCACCAGGTAAAATTCCTTGATGCACATGTCACGTTAGCTGGTTCCCAAATCAGCCAACTTAAACAGCGGGTTAATGCTAAAGACAGTCGCAAAACAGCACGGCCAAAGCTCAATGTTGAGGCACAAACATTAACATCAGATGAAGGCCTTCGACTTGCGCAGGAACGAGATCAGGCGGCCAAGGAGAAGGAGGCTGAGAAGACTCGGCGAGACAAGGAACGAAGGGCTCAACAACTGGCAGAACAACATGAGCGTGTCACAAATGCTCCAACCATGGTTTTCCGTGGAGCTCTCACTGGTCGCAAGAAGGAGAATCTCAAGACTATTGCCTACGCTCTTGGAATATCAATGGATGGGACAGTGAAAGACCTGACGGAGCGCATCACAACACATCTTGACGAGCACCCAGATGTTTGTGAAGACCCACGATTTGCTGGCCTCGGAAGTGGTCGCTCACGCGCGCGCTGATAGAACCAACGAGCACTGGTGCTGCCGCTCCCGGACCATCTCCCAGACCATCTCCCGGACCATCTCGCACTCCACTCGCTGATATTACCACGACATTGATTCCGCGCCAACCTCTCACAGACACAACTTCATCGTATCCCTATCACACCCACTATAATACTCCAATGCCTAACCAACCTTCTGCTTCATCGTACATGCCTTCCCCTCCTTCATACCTTTCTACACCATATAATAATTACATACCTTCTTCTTCCTTGTCTTATAATTCTGTAGATGCGCAAGATAATGTATTTGGCTATTGAAGTCTAAAGTTCTCGCCACAACGGAAAGATAAGTTGTCCCAGGGGAGCCGCTGCCTTGGCTGCCTGCTCCCATTTCTCTAATTTCGTCTTGACTACCTTCAGTTCATGATGTAACCTCTCGCGCTCAAGCGACCACTTCTCGCGCTGATCTCTGAGTGCTTCCAACTCATCCTCTAAATCCTCTTGTAGTGAGTCTCGTTTTTCGATCCCTTCTGCCAGTCGAGCTTGACCGAGCTCAAGCTGGAGTCGAGCATCAAGGTTGTTAACCTCGTGCAGTGGTTCCTCGTTTTTAACACTCGGGACTGCGTAGATTAGTATGATAATTCTCTGTGCATACTATAGCGCCACCATAAACAGGCTCAGTCTCCAGCTGAGATTGTTCCTGTGATGAATCTCCACCATATAATCCATCTACGAATGTCTGGTCTCCCGTCTGTGAATCCAGTGCACCACCTCGCTCGAAATATGGCCTGTGGAGAGGTGTGTGTTGCCGTCAACTAGCTCAGTAAGCAGGCAATGACACACCGAAAGCTGGCATTGCTGACTTGGGCACTTGGCCTGGGGGTTCGCATTGGGGAAGAGGGAGGTGAATAGCCATGTCGGACGCACTTCTGGTGGCGCTTGCGTTGTTCAGCAGCAAGGGTAGCGGGAGACATCAGGAAAAAAGTTTTCCCATAGTAGCTAGGTGGGAGGATCTGCACTTGATTTGTAGCAAAATATAGTCATATATAGCATTTGTAGCTAACAGAGACAAAAACTGGTATTTTAACTTTAGATGACAAATCCTTTATTTTCATAGCAAGTATGTAGTAGACATGTTACTGGTACCAGTAGTTCCATAGAATAGCCAAAATGTAAAATTACCAACTTCTGTAGTATCTGTAGCAGATAGGATATCTTTGTAGCCTTTATAGTCTACCTCCAAGCTTTGTAGTCAAATATTGTACAATGTATGGATGTAAGGAAAAAGATGTTAGAAAATGCTCTGAATAATGAAGCTTTGTATCTCACTTAACTTTGTGACAACAGAATTAATTTTTCATCACTGAGTATTCTAAGTCCACTCTTCAAGAGTATGAAATACAATACAAAATACACAAATTGCACACTTTAATATGTTCTAGACATGTTTACTCTATCCATAATAAGTAAACAGTAGTGAGATATGCTAAAAACAAAAAAAAAAAAAAAACTCATGATGAATGAACCTGAACCTGAATATGTGGCTATGAACTTGCTCTTGTCTTACTCTTGCTTAGTCTAATGGTTTCACTGTAAATTCTGGTGTTGCTTTTGTGAGGTTGACAGTTCAACTCCCATAAGAGTCATACTTTACAACTAATTCCCCTTAGCTATTCTGTCCCTTGTAATGACTTGCTATCCACTAATTCATAAAGGCTAGTAAGCTTGCAAGGATCTGAAATTGGCTTTATTCTGTAGCTACCTCCTAGCTATATTGTTGTCCACCTAGCTACAGGTGCTACATTGTACTATAATTCACCGGCACCTAGCTACATATGGGGGACCTTGCAATTTAGCTACCGCAGCTATATTGTCTATATAGTCATATATTGCAGTTCTGTTTTTTCCTGATGGAGAGTAGAGCCTCGCACTTCATCCGCTTTTCCTGGTCAAGCTGAGAAGGCTCCCATTCGAACTGCACAGGAGAAGAGGTGCGATAGGATTCGTCGTCGCTCATGGCTGTCAAGAGCCAAAAACGGAATGCCACAAAGCTGCCGACATTCACTTATCGGCTGTTCTTGCCATAGGGTGACAGGCTGTGACAACCACTTGGGGTGGTCGATATCTCTCCGCCCCGACCAGATTTGACCCGGATTTTTTTGAGAATTTTCCTTCAATAGACTGTCCAACGTCCCTCCCAAGTTCCGACAAGAGTGTGAGAAGTCAATGGGTCACGATTACGCCGTTTCCACGATAGACAGCTGAGTTGATGGATGAGATGGGGAGCCTTTCAAGCTTTCCTCCCAAATACAACTCAATTTTTTGTACCATACGATGCGGGCGAAGTAGCTCTTTCCAAATTTGAAATCACTACTTTATTTTGCTATCCGTTGAGAATTGACCATTTTATTCCACATTTTCAATTACAAGTACACATTTCAATTACGATGTGCATCATAGTAACGACTGGCTCGAGTCTATGACTGAAGCTGAGCAAAAATTCGGACAGGGACGGACTGGCTCGGGGGCTGTGCGTGGGACACATGCTTACGTGGGCCGCTCCTCCGCTCGTGGCCCGCCGCGCTTGTCCTTGCCCTCGCCATCGTCTTCCTCGCCGCGCGGTCGTCGCCCTCGGTGCCTTCGCTCGGTGCCTTCGCGCAGCGCGCGCTCGCCTGGCTCCGCGCGCTGAGGATGGGAAGACCTCCGACGGCGCGACCCTTGACGATCCTCTTGGCAGTCCGTTGCCTGACTACCGAACCCGCCCAATGCAAATCCCTGCATTTGCCAGTGATCGCCTGCACCGCCCACGGGATGAACGCACCTTGGAGACTGTGGAGCGATTGTCGTCCCGATACTACAAGCAGGGGTATGGGCGTGCGTTCAACTACGGCAGTGTTCATCGGTCTTGGTACGCCGGCACTATGCCTCGTATAAATATTAGCGTTGGCTCCTTCTTTCCCCCAGTTTTCCAACCTCTACTACCTAACAGTGTCGCGCTCTCCTCAGCTTTCCTGCATTTGTGCTCACCTCCGCAGACAGAACTCATGTACGCTTTGACGACCTGTGTGCTCCTCGCGCTCGGCCTCGCCGCGTCCGCGGAAATACAGATTGCTGCGAGTGCGAACCCGAACTGCGAGAAGCCCACTGTATTCCAGTATCGCGACCCCGGCTCGCAGGTGGAATGCGTGAACTTGGGGGGTGCCATGCGGAGCATCCAGTGGAACGGCCTTGAGACGGAAGCCGACCTCTTCGTTGGCAACGACTGCTCGGGGCAGAGCGCACCCCTCGGCGGTAACTCCGGTTGCGCAACCGGGGCCAACGGGTGCGTGCTGCGCCGCCCATAATGCTGACCGTTGCCGACTGACTCGTTTGCAGGGCCACCTGGAGCAGCATCCGCCTTCACGTTAGCAACCCCAATCCGGGCCTCCCCGAGATCGACCTCCCTGAGCCACCGTTCTGACCGCGGCACATCTCTGAGCGAGTCGTGGGCCGGGCTCCTAGGCTGGTAGTTGCTGTAGCCGTATATTTGGATGATTTGCTTGTGAATTCAAATTGAGCTGCGACATACTATAGTATCCAGAGAATTGACTTCGCTTTCGCGGTTGTTAATTGATATATTAACAGAGGTAGGCAGTCGAACCTCCGAGTCCTTGAGGATAGAACATCGACCATTGGCATGATGACCAAGTCCAAAACATCTATAAATTCATCTCATGCCTGGAAAACAAGGAGAAGCCCAAAGCGGCCAGTTCAGGCCTAAAATCTACAGAAGCCTACGCGCCTTCCACACTCGTCCCCACCGTCCCTCCCCCTTCTCCGCGAGTATCTCCTCCCCGAACACATGCCGGCGCACATATTCATTCCTGAACACCCCATGTGGGTCGACCTCTTCGAGCACACGCACAAAGTCGGCGAATTTGGGGTACATCTTACGCAGCTGCGGCGGGGTGAGCGGGTGCGCCTTGGCCCAATGTGGTCGGCCGCCGTGGCGGGCGACGATGGCTTCATAACGCTTGAAGAAGGTCGCGTAGGGAACGTTGAAGCCATATGGCCTGAAAAGTAACCGTTAGTCTGGAGGGTCGAGAAGCCAGAGAACCACAGACCGATACTGCGCAATTCCAATCCAACATGTCTCGCGACCGTATGCGGGACTAAGCCATATGTCATCCTCCTTAGAGAACCGGACCTCGAACGGAAAGTGCGGTCGCAGCCCATGGGGATCTTTCGCCTCGCTGTCCATCCAATTCTTCAATTCCCGAAGACATGCAGGTGCATTCGCGAGGGGGACAGCCCATTCGGTCGTATGCTGGGGATAACGACACTCTACGTTGAAAATTTTGGGTCCGTCGTCGACAAGAGTAACGGGGGCTGCGGCGAGCCAGGAGACGAAGATGCCGGTGAGAGTGTTGAGATATGGCCAGAGGCGGCCGATGAAGAGCAATAGTTGCACGACATGGAATGCGAGGAAGGAGCTGTAGAACCAGGGAATGGGAGGGAGTTTTGGCTACAACAACCAAGTTAGACGTGAATCCGAAGGCAAAAGGTCGATAACGCACTTCTCGTGTCCTATTTACGGTGCTGCATTTGACCTTATGCGACGCTGCTATCCACCAGAATCGCACATGCTCTGCAGACCGGACCAGCGATTCGAAGTTGCCCACCCAGTCCTCGAAGCTCCGCGAACACAGCTCTTCCTTCAGCCGAAATGCTGGCTCGACTTTAAGCTGGATGCGAAGAATGATACCGGTGGCCCCGAGCCCACACAAAGTGGCCAAAAACAAGTCCTCTTGTTCTGTCCTTGAGCATTGCGCGACAGAGCCATCTGCAAGGAGCAGCGTGAGCGCGGAAACGTCGGTCGACATGGACGCGAAGCCGATCCCAGAGCCATGACTGGCAGTGGTGACGATTCCGCCGAGAGTCTGGTCGGATATCGATCCGACATTCCGCATCGCCAAGCCATGCTTCGCCAGCTCGATATGGAGCGCGGTGAGGGTGATTCCCACCTCAGCAACCACGTACGCCTTCTCCACGTTGACCTGCGCATCTCCATTAACGGTTAGAACAAGCCTGGGGAAGTGGCCACGCACCTCTAGGAGACGAGCCATCTTCGTCATTCGCAGCATGAAGTCTCCTGTGCACACCAGATCGCTGGGACTATGCCCGACACCGACGGCCTTCAGCACCCTCCCTTCGCGCCTCGCCATCGCCAGCACCAGCGCACAGTGCTCCTCCGTTTCGGGCTCGAATATAGCCAGCGGGGTGCACTCGAAACTCAGGCCCCAATTGACGAATCTGGACCTTGGCGACGACGAGGGCACCGTAATGGACGCCAGTATCGCGGCATCCGACTCGTCGACGGTTGCGCGGGCGGAGGACGGAGGCGCCTGGGCCATGGTCGTGTCAAGAGAGTCTCGCACTTTTTTTACTTTTTACGGAGGAGTCATCCTGATCGATGGCGTATAGATGAGCATGCTGATGACAGCAAACGACGCACATGGCATGCTTGGTGCTTACTCGATTCCTATTCTAAGATGCTGATAGAACCCTGTAACGCTCGCGGCCGTGGGGGGTGTCCGTTTCTCCCGCGCGAGATGGGGGCAATGAGAAGGAGAGATGTGGCGCGACAGTTGATCCGTACCGGGGAATACCGGCTGGCCGCCTGTCTATTGCCGGTGGGAACAATCATACTCACACAGATATGGCTAAATACCGGTGTTGTAGCCGAAAAAAAGAAAAAGAAAAATTCCCAAAAAGGAAGGAGGGAGGAAAAGAAAAGAGAGGGATCTGAATAGATCTCTGTACTGTATTCCTACTGTTTATACAGGCAAAATGAGCCTTCCTCAAGTGTAAATTTCTCTGAGCGGCGCCTGCGGCGGGCAGTTTGGTGTGTGAGGCATCACAGAATACTGTCAACAATTTCTGTTTTCGAATATTTTTGGCTAGATACTCATGTTGGTAGATAGCGCAGATAGTGAAAATTAGTAATAGTATTACCTATTTGGGCCATCCATGTGATATTAAATCTCCATTGTGCTACTGTGCACTGAAATGATAACAGATTCAGCTGGAAATTGGTGTGTGGTTAGATATACAGGATACCTTGAAATGCTCCAAGTTTGGAATTTTTCTATGCTATAATTATCAAGTAATTTGATAATTTCATCGAAAATTACAGTTCATGACCTGAATTACCTGGATAAAAATGCAGGTCTCTGCAGGAATAGTTGATTGGCTATTACTGCTATCATTTGTGCATATCAAAGGTAGAAAGGTCCATGGAGCTGTCCACAGGGGAAATAAAACTTAGGAAAGGTAAATTTATTTCTTTGATTCTATCCTGGTGTTCATTGTGCCTGGAAATACGGAAGCGGTGAAGACCCTGAAACTTTGGATATATATTGTCACTTCTACTAGTTCACTTACATGTATAGACAATATGAGGGTTGTCCAATTGTTTGTGTATATTTGACAATCACTGGGAACACATCACGGCGGGTTTGCTGTGATGTGACACTAACAATCAGTTACGGAAATAAACCTTTTTTGCATCCAGTATCTGGATCAGTCACGAGAACCGGGGCCGGTGAATGCTCACACCCGGAGAGAAAATACTAAAAAAAAAGGAAATTTAGCTGACAGTATCTTGGATGTCGGTTCAAGCGCCGCAGGCGCCCGAAAAAGATGATGAACATTTGGAAGAGTAATTTTTCAATATTGTATACCAGATCTGAGATGTATGGTAAGACATATGCAACTCCTAGGGAAGCTCTCTTTTTTCTCTTTTTTCTCTTTCCTTTTTGGGATTTTTTTTTTTCTTCTTTTGGCTACCAACAACACCAGTATCAAGCCATATTTTTGCCATGCGGAACCTGTTGATGGCAAATACTGAACCCAAATCAGGTTTTTTTCGGCCGGCTGTTCCACGGTACGATGCCCGTCACGCCATGTAACACAGAGTCACAGACCCATCAAATAACATTGGGCAGCTCTGCGTGCCTAAGGAGATGGTAGGTGGTTGGGAGCATGGTCTAAGAGTGTAGCTGTAACAGACTCCCAGGCTCATACCCAGACCTTGTTGTGGAGCTCACAATCCCACTTGTGTAGTTTAAAGCCGAATACTGACCTATTTCATTCAATTCAGCAGGCCTGTGATCTGTGACCGTTTGGCCGAAATGTCCAGGCCGAATTTCATATGACCTCTTACCTGATTAGGACCTGCCGAAATATTTTGGCCCGGAATTGAATGAAATAAATCAGTATGATTTGATTGATCGATAACTCCGAACTGTGACAAATGTGACGGGAAAGTTGGGGATCGCTCTACAAGAGGGCTGGCGCAGCTAGGCAGCTAGCCCGACCCACGTCAGCCTGGCCATCTGATAAGCGGTGCTCAGCGCAAACCGCCATGGCTCTTGATGTCACCATCCTCTCCTGCATCCTCGAGACGCTCCAAAGTGCCCGCACCACCCTCCATGGGTTGACTTTGGGCCCAGCATGGTCACTTGTTGAAGACCGTCTCGCCTAGCTGCCATATTTTGCGAATGGACCACTTGTGCACCAGTTTGGAGGGCTTCCAGGGTGGTGGCAGCGGCGGTGGAGGTGGCGGCAGAGGCGGAGGGGGTATGGAAGGTTTCGAACATGGCGTTCGCAGGCCGCGGGGATGGGAGGAAGAAAAGAGTGGTGGGCGGAGAGACTGACAACCGTTTGGGGTTACACGGCTCAGAGCCGGACCAGGCTAGTTGCGCCAGCCCTCTTACAGAGCCCTCACCCCAAAAACTAATAGCACTTGTCACATCATTTTGATTTAGCCCAAAAATCATTACATACATATATTACTTATTGTGTCTGTTTCATCCTTTGTGCTGTTCCAGCAGCAGTAATATATACCCTAATTTCTTTTCACAAATCGAGTCTTCTGGAGTTTTATTTGTTATTGTTCTCAGTTGTGAAAATATACATTTTTGTTGTCCACTATTTATCATAAATAGATCCTACTTCAGAGCCTATTTTTAGGCAGAAACCCAGGTGTGAAAGATAAGATTATAATGATACATCCTTATTTATAATAAACTAGGCATGTCTATTGTAGGAATTTTATTAATTACATAAAAACGCATTGAAGGCAGAGCCTATGTAACAGAGTAGAGCATAGTAATATACTATTATGACTGGACAGGGCTGGGGCCTATGCCCCAGCTTTGAAGTTTGCTTCAATAACATGAATTTCTATATTAAGATCATTGCCAGTAGTCATAGAATGGCACACAAATGTCCTATGGCCTTTTTAAATATCTGGTCTACTATTGTTGCTAGTATATGTAGATTGGAACCTAAGTCAGGAAAATTTATGTACTTATCTCTCAATTTGTAGGCAATTTGAGAATATATAGTGAAACATTTATTCCCAGAACTTTCCCTGCTAACATCTCTATGAAGCCATAAGTAGATTCCGCTGATGTTTCCTACTGACATTATTATGATATTCTACAGACTTCATACTGATTGCTATCCTCAATTTAGCATAATATCATTGAGAAATGTCCTGTCACAGATAAGACCTGGCTCATCCTCTCTGGCACTGGTGTTGCAGGCCCACAACACATGGCACGTGACAACAGGGAACATGCACCCTAGTAGAAAGGAACACATACGTGGGAAGCACATGATCAAGAACGATGCATTGGGCGCAACACTGAGCCCAACTCATGGCAAACCCAAGTCTATGCCTGTGGGATGAATTGCCAAGTTCGTCAGGCATGTCATGGCCCAGGCTCATACCCAGCCCTCATTGCAGAGCTAATCCAAGAGCATGTATTTCAATCTAAATAGTATGAGTTTTGGGGAAAATGAAAAAAAAATCTGATAAATGTGACAGTTTTGGCTGGGGGTGCGCTCTGCAAGAGGGCTGGCACAAGTAACCCAGACAAACACCTGAGGCTGTGCACTTATCTCCAGATTGGATTTAGCTTCTAACTATGGACTAGGACTAGTGCTGAGACGATGGCTGGGTATGAGCCTGGTCATGGCCTTTGAGCTATGAGGAGTTGGATAAAATGCAATAGTAATTAATCTTGTTGTTTTTTGTGCATGCTCTATGCCGCTTGGGTTTCTGGTGCAGGCCAGGGTAGGGTGTACTGCAATGTGGCAGAGGTTTTTTTTTTTTCTTTCTTTTCATTTATAGGTAGGTAAACCTACCATGTTGCGGTTTTAGCCTGACAGTTCCACTGGTAAGAGTATCTATAGTGTACATAGTTTTTAAAGGATTGAAGCAACATTCAGAGCTGGGGCATAGCCCCAGCCTGTCTAGTCTGTTTTAATTCATCTGTGAGCTTGTGAATTCCTAAGGTATATATGACTCATGTATTGATACTATCACAGAAATGGCTATACAATTAACTGCTCGCTCATAATGTTGTGAATAACCCAAGAATCGTAATTTTAGTTTGACAGCTTGTTCTCCCAATCAGGCTTGATTGCATTTTATAGCTTTTCTTACCAATTCAGGGATTCAATAGCAATGACCCCTAAAATGGCAATTTGAGTAAATGAATTGCCAAAGCCAGTGCCAAACATGTGACATGACATCTGCTTAATATAAGAGTAATAACTCCATTTGAGAGATCTGGCCACTTATTCATTCATGATTTGGAGATGCTAAAAATCATTGTATGCCATGGTTCGAGCCAGGGTGGGGTGTTACAACAAGCCAATGTCGTTTTGATTTTATCTTATTGATGTGCTTGGAGATGGACTGTGGTGGGGTTTTACTTGATGTCTGGGTGTATGTCGATGTCATCTTAAGAGTGATCTTATTTCAGTTGTACCAGCAACCAAGCGACCTATAGGATCCTGAAGTATGCATTTCATTTTTTTTGTTCTTGTACGAGTATTTATTAGTGGATGACTTGGAAGGTGCTTATGTCCACTTTGTCTCTCTGAAGTGTCAGGAAAGGCGGTTGACTCCTCAGTCCTGAAGACGCATAGCAGCTAGGTCCAAGAATAAGGCTGTTCTCACGGAAACAGAATGGCACTTAGCCCGCAGGCCCGTGGCCACCAAATTAACATAGTTGCGTGCCAAAACATGTATGTACCATTTGGGCTCCTGGTTCATGCTGGGGCGGGGTGTACAAAGTGTACAAAGAATGGAAGCGTCATTTTTATTTGCACCCTTGTTGAGCGGCTGAAATGTACTGTGAGGTCTCAGGTTTCGGTGCGCAGCACTGCCGCAGAAACACTGTATATGCATTGTGGATTAGTGATGTCAGTGATGATGACATATTAGTCTGCACTATTGTTGTGTGTATAGTGTGAATTCCATTTGAGAGACCCTATAGGGCCTGGCTACTGAGTCCGCTGCAGATGGGAATATCACTGTATACTGCTTGGGTTCCTG